ACCCCTCGAGCGTCAAAGCTGAGAATCCAGCTCCGCTGTGTGTGTGTTAACTGGGGCCCAGTCAGCTGATTGCTGTTGAACTCCCCTGAATACGAGTAGTTTCACCAGGCGTCCCATATTCAACACACGCTGCCAATGCCCCCCTGTGACAAGGTTTCAATCACCTTGTTAGATTGCCTGTGAGTCTTGAGTTGTTATAGTAACCCTGGGTCTGTGCCTCAGTTTCCCTGGGCACTGCACCAATGACTAGATGGGGGATGGGTATTTTGGATGTTCTACGCACTGACAGAGTCGCATCTGGCTGTGGATGGGGGTGTAGGGACCTCTCACTCTCCATACGTGTCAGTGACACCCCCCACTCCGCGCAGTAGTGGGTCTGTGCCCCGACCGGCCCGTCACTGGTCACTGTGGCCTTGCTGGGGTTCCCCTGTGCAGGTTCCAGCCCCGTCTCGGGGGCAGCAGGAAGCCGCAGAGCTGCACCTCTCGGTGCGGGGGGACACCCTGCAGTTCTCGGAGCGGACGACAGTGCTGCTGCGGGTGCTGGAGCCGGGGACCTTTGTGCAGACGGACAAGGCCGTCTACAAGCCGGGACAGACAGGTGAGGGGCAGGGGCTGCTGGAGGGGTTTGGTGGGGCCCCAGGCCCTTGGGAGGGACCCTGGGCTGTGGGGAGGGGAGGGGGGCTCCGGGGATACGGGACTCTCACTTGTAGGCCCCTGTCTGCACCCGGCCCAGGGGGTGAGAGGCTCAAAGCCTGAGCCCGTTTGGGGGCCTGCATGGAACCAAGGGGGGTCTCAGCCCATCCTTGGTGCTGGCTGCAGGGGCCCCGATCGGCCTCCTCTGGCAGCCTCCGCAGGGAGGCCGGGGTCTGGCCGGGCCCTGGAGGCTCAGCTCCCGGCAGCCGCCCAGGGCAGGGCCACGGCCCGTGGGCAGAGGCAGCGTGGGGAAGCTCGCGCCGCCCTGCCCGGGCTGTGCCCGTTGCGAGGGGTCACAGAGGCCGTCAGTGCCTGGGCGTCCGGCTGGCACCGTCCCCCGGGAATCACCCAGAGAACCAGGCCGGGGCTGACTCCCCTCTGCCTCTGCCCCTTTGCAGTGAAGTTTCGAATCGTCACTTTGGACAAAGACTTTGTTCCCAGCGCCAGGCCGGTGAGAGCGGGGGTGGGGTGAGAGCGGGGGTGGGGCTGGCCTGTGGGGGCGGGC